TACTTACTTACTTACTTACTTACTTACTTACTTACTTACTTACTTACTAATGTAAATATGTGTTTCCAATATATTTTTGTGTTTACAAGTTAACCTAGTGTGAAATGTTTAATATAACACTTTATAATATGTACATGAACAGATTTGGCTCACTATTTAGCAAGAAACCAGTTTAGTCTCTTTCTTATTCTTAATTAATGCATTATAAACACTTATTAATGATGTACAAAGTGGTTATAGATGAATTAATAACCTATCAATAAACTATTTACAATCCATCTATAAGGGGAGCCTTATTGTAAAGTGGCACCAGCTTTTTTTTTTTATTATTTATTTATTTTTTTTTTTTGCGACTGTCGTAATGAAACACGCAACATAAGGGGCGTGGCTAAGGCGGCCCCTCTCAGTCTGTTTATTACACAGAGACCGATACCAGCCGGAGGTTTTTATCTTCTCAGCTGGACGTTTGAAACCTTCTCCCTGCTGTCAGGTATGCACTTCTTCGCTAACACGCCGTGTTTGTGAAAATATGGATTTACCTCAAATCCGGTTTTATTTTAGTTTTAATATGAACAGTTTCTTCGACTAACGGTGCAGACCGTACAGTTAGGAAGTTTTTTTTTTTAAAACAACAACATGGTTTCAGCTTCTCCTGAAGAAAAATTCAAAACTCTACTCTCATTTTTTTGTCTGAATTAAATTATGCATCGTGTTGTTGTTGCTGAAACAGAGTTTATTACTGCTTTATATGCTTTTTTAAAAGCACTGCATGGAAAATGTTTTGTGCTTTAATTTGCAATACTTTACCATCTCATTTTGAATGATCTTGTGGTTCCCAAAGCTCGGGTCGAGACCCCAATATGGGTCATGAAACACAAGTCAGGGTCCACAGATAACCTCCAGTTATCCTTCCTTTAAAAATGATTGCCCATGGTATATTTTCACCACAATTAGTAGAAAGATTAAAAGATATAAATGAACAAGAGTGGTATTATGTTTTAATGGCAGATTTTGAGTTTTTTAAACCATCAACTGATGGAGTCATTTTGTGTGTCGAGAGATAAAAAAAATTGGTGGACTATTTACAGTATGAAGATTTGTGAGCTTAAAATCCATGAAATTGTTCCCATTTTGCTGCATAATAATAATAATAATAATAATAATAATAATAATAATAATAATAATAATAATAATAATAATAATAATAATAATAATAATAATAAAATAATGTTTTCCCCCAGGTAATAAATTAGATGGTTGCTAGCCCTAATATTAAGTGTTTTAAACAGTTCTGTTATAAATCTGATAAATAGCATGGATGGAGACATAAAGAAAACAAGACAAAAGTGAATAAAATGAAACAATGACCACTTTGGCCACATGCTTTTTTACAATTACATTCCACTTTTTGCTATTAAAACAAGCCTTAATTGTGATTAAAAATCAGTATACCTGAAGCATCAAATGATGATGCTCTGTAGTTAGTATACCAGCAGCACATCCATATTCTTTGTTTTCAAATGGTGGTGTGAGCCAGGGTTGATCCATCTGCTTTTTTAACTGCAGAAACCCAATCAAACAGAACGTTACAGTACAATTAGCTTAAAATGTGTAAAACCTCCTGAACTGTAACTAATTTTCTTATATTAAAGGGATCCCCGATTAGTTGTAACATTAGACTTTATTTGATAAACATTTATTTTAACTGTAAAATAAAGACTGTAAAAATACAGGATGTTTAGTTTTGTAAATTTTTTAATATATATTTTAACACAGACAAAGCCATTTTATTTACACGCAAAGCATTTTGGGTAAATGATGACGTGGATAGGTCCTCGGTGCGAGGCTGCTAGCGAGCTATATCCACCCTGAAGGTTAATCTTGGACAATATCTGATGATCGACTCTTAAATGAAACCAGAGAGCGTTGACAGAGAGGAGAAGGTAGAAATGACTCAGCCTGTAACTGAAAATAGATGGAGGACAACAGAGCTGCTTCATGGAAGAAGAACCTCAGCTTATCCTGTTAGCCTTTGTGCTAGCTCTGACAGCATATTGTCTTATATGTATTAGCTCAGCGCTAGCACGACAAACAAGCTAAACTGAGGCCCTCCATCCATATTTTCAGTTGTAGATTGAGTCATTTTTGTGTTCCCCTCTCTGTCATGTGGATGGAGGACCTCAGTGACGAGAGGAGAATGTGTAGCGCTGAGCTAATACATATATATGGTGTAGCATCGGGGCTAATGCTAAAGCTAACAGGCTAAGCAGAGGTTCTTCTTCCATGAAGCAGCTCTGTTGTCCTCCATTCATATTTTCAGTTACAGGCTGAGTCATTTCTACCTTCTCCTCTCTGTCAACGCTCTCTGGTTTCATTTAAAAGAGACAATCGTCAGATATTGTCCAAGATTAACCTTCAGTGTGGATATAGCTCGCTAGCAGCCACGCACTGATGACCTATCCACGTCATCATTTACCCAGAATGCTTTGTGTGTAAATAAAATGGCCCCATCTTTGTAATATATTTTTAAACTTTTATTTTAAAAATTATAAAAACTAAACATCCTACAATATTTTTACAGTCTTTATTTTACAGTTAAAATATATGTTTATTAAATAAAGTATATTGTTACAACTAATTGGGGATCCCTTTAAGAAGTTTTGGGTGTATTTTATTAAAGGTTTATGTTTTACGTAATAGAGGCAAAAGGAAGAAACATCACTGATTTGAGTTCATCCTGAAGCATGAACACATACTGTTTCAGTGTGATGTGTCACGTTGATCTGACTGCAGATGATGAGATGACCTCAGAGCTGCACTGATGGAGAACCTGTGGTGTGTGGCTGTGACCGTTCTCCAGCTCTGGATATTTGTGGTGGTGTTCCTCATCATGCTGCCGGCCATGTTCGGTCTCTCTCTGGGGGTGACCGGAGTGTACATCAAGATTCTGGTCAAACTCCTCGAGGTAAGTTCTGCATTTTCAGTTTCGTTTGAGGCTGACGGTTCTCGGCAGCAGCTCGTAATGAGAGGTCATCTGAATATTCCTGTGCTCATAGTGGGCCACGTTACGCATCCAGAGAGGACGACAGGAGCAGCCTGATGTGTCTGCCCCTTTACCAACAGGTAATTCTGACCTAAACACAAATACAATCATGCCATAACAGTAATAGCAATAGAAGAACCTGAGACTGTACATTAGAAAATGGTACCAGGTGTATTTATGGTCTATATAAGACAAAACCTGACATGTGAAGAAAAAAAACTGTCACACAGTCAGTAATGATCATTAAAGCTTAAATATTTAGGAATCCAAACTGTGAGTAAAAACAGTTTGAGAAAAAATTCATATTTAAAATGATTAGAGAACTGTTAAAAAAGTTTATTATTTGTTTTTTAAATTTACTTTATATCAAAAGGTAAACAAAATAAAAAAAACAAGTAGTATGTTGAGGGAAATAAACAAATAATTAAAGATATTATGACACAAAGATGATTTTTGCAGAAAATAAGGATCAAAAGAAAAATAATTTGGGAAATATAACGAAAAAAATAAAAAAAGGAAATTTGAATTTGTGCAATGATTGTGTTGAAGGTTTTCTTTTGGAATTTATAGATGAAGTAAGATAATTTGATTGCTACTTTTTGAAAAAAATTCAATACAAATTTCCGTTCTGTTGAATTACAAAATTAAAAGGGAAGTAATGATCGTGTGAACAGAGTTGATGAACTTTGTGACTGATATAAGGAAGCCCTCAGCAGTTCCTTGTTTAGGTGTCCGCACACTGTTTTTAGCTGCCTGAGGGATTTCTTTCAGCAGCACAAAGATCATGTGACACAACGTGCACAAGAGTCGGGATTTCCCATTGGTCAGCTGCAGCGTCTAATAACGAGGTGTCGTTCCCTGTGAGAAAACACAGTGTTTGTCTCAGGATGATGACGCAACAGCACGTTGTGTGATCACATGAAGTCTTAAGTCACACACACATAAACGCACACACACATACACACATGCAACGAACAAAACACACTGGAACTCTGGCTCAGTGTGCTGCCATGTGTTAAATCTGTGTTGAACTTTTAACCACAAGCAGTCAGTCATTCTAGGTGGTTGAGAAAAGTTTCTAGGGAGAAGGCTAAACAGCAAAACAACAAACCTACTGGAACAAACAGAATAAGAACTATACTGTATCAACAATAACCACAGCTCTAATATCGCCAAAGCCTGCTAGTGACAAACAAATGTTAAAAAAATAGGAAAAAAATTAGGAACAGAAAATAGATCTTGAGAAACCATATATATGAAGGCACAGTTAACTTTGACGTCCAATTTTAGGAGGGAAAATAGGGTGAAACGACATGACCTGAAAACTACCTCATAGACTCTATGAGCAGGGGTCTGCAATCTTTATGATCAAAAGAGCCATTTATGCTTCTTGGCTCACTAATAAAATGTGTCCACAGTCGCAAAACAAACTACAGCTGTGGTTATCAACTGGTGGTCCGTGGGCCTTTTCAAGGCCTTTTTCGGCTCCTTTATGGCCAGTGGAGGTGGCATTATATAACTAAAAAATATATTATGAATTTATTATTATTTTTTTTACACATCAGGACAAAGGAAAAAACCATATTTAGGTAAACAAAAAAAAACTGTAAATAGTTTTTCCTGAATTTCATAAAAACTAGTACAACTGAACTATTTAGGTATATTTTTTTCTAATTCTTGTTACTACGTAGTCTTCAGATTCTTTAAAGGGCCAATATTATGTGTTTCTCAGGCATATTTTTAAATACTATAC